TTTCATGGCCAAGTCCTCATACCTACTGCCCAAGACCACCCACACTGTCCCTCAGGGAGGCTGACTTCCACAAGCCAGCTGCCCCAGGTGCTCCACACTATCCTTGGCTTAGTTTACCATATGGCCATGCCTCCCAGTGTCCATACTACTAAGTGTGGTAGTTGACCACACTGCCCTAGGGGACAGAGATGGCAAGTGGGTAGGGAGAGGGGAGGAAGGTGAAGTTCCTGGAGCCACTCCTCCCAAGCATACCACCTTCAGCTCTTTGTCCTGGCTTCCCAGGAGGTCTCAGCCTAAGGTAGTGTGTGTGTGTGTGTGTGTGTGTGTGTGTGTGTGTGTGTTCGTATGAGCACCATGTTCATGTATCTTTCCCTCTGTTGCTGGCTTGCTCGCTCTCCTGCCCACACTTTCTGCTTCAGGAGCTGCTTGGCAGGCTTGGAGAAGCTGTTGGACAGAATTCAGCTCTCCCAAGGAGGAAAGCATAAACTTCATAAACTGCATTTACTTTAATGCAGGTTCCTGGCCAGTTTCCCCTACTCATCCTCTCTATCTCCATCATATTCTAACTTCTCCACCCCTTCTTGTGCCTGTGACACACACACACACACACACACACACACACACACACACACATACACACACAATAGCTAGTCCTGAACAGATGAAGCCTGTGGCTGAGAAAGGAAAGGTAGAAGCTCTGCTTATCCACTCTTCGAAGCAGGCCACAGCCAGGGTCCTGGACAGGCCCCAGGGGATGCCCACGCCCTGTCTCCAGTGAAGATAAGCACAAAGGGTGCTTTGAAGCTGGCCTGCCTCAGGGAGGGAGGGGATTCTGACATTTCAGGAGGATGGCCGAATGAGGAGACACCTGGAGGCCAGGCCACAGGGCTCCTAGGAAGGGAGGGAGAGGAGCCCAGCTTGCAGCAGGTTGAGGTTTGTGAGGCCTCTTGTCTGGTGCTGTCAAGGTCAGCAGGTTCGGGTTCATTGAAGGGTCAGGATGGTTTGAATTACTGGCTCTGCTGCAACTGGCTCTGAGGCTCCTGACTGACTCCCAGCCCCTCTGCCAGGCCCCACCCTCTCCCAGCCTGTCTGGCCTTTCCAACCTTGGGGGGCAGAAGAGGAGGGTCCCAGAAGCCTCCAAGGCCACCATGATCCTGAGGAAAGTAGGATGAGGAAGGATCATTCCCTGGTCTCAGTGGTCCAGGAGGCTGCAACAGTCTTGGGTCTCTCACCCCTTCATTTTCTCCTTACCCATTCTGAGGGGTCCCATGCCAGCTACCTTCCCCATTGTTGGACTGTAGAGGAGGAGGCACCCAGGTAGGTGAACCCATGAGCAGCAGAGCCTGGGAAAAGCCTTGTACCTGGCTCTTCCCTCCTATGTCCAAAGCCTGTGCTGAGAGAGAAGGGCAGAGCTGAAGCAGTGGATTTCTCTTGGTGCCCTTGTTGGGAGGGGGAAGGAGAAAGTAAAGCAACCTTCAGGGCTAGAGGCAGTTGCCTAGGGGAAGACAGAGAGTGGAAGACCTGTGCTGATAGGATAGGTCTTCTGTGAGGATGTAAATACAGGAAGGGCATAAGAGAACCTGTCTGCCTTTGTAGGATGATGTATGATCTACACTCAGTGTTCAGGAGCAGAGGGACACAACCAATCCCCTCTGCGACCTGTGCATTCTCTCCTGGGGTAGATAACCTATCTGGACTTTCTGGCACTGTATAGAAAAATACATACTTTTTTTTTTTTTTTGTCTGTCTTTTTGAGACAGGGTCTCGCTTTAGCCCCAGCTGGCCTGGAACTTGCTATGTAGACCAGGCTGGCCTCCATCTCAGAGAGATCCACTTTCCTCTGCCTCCCAAGTGCTGGGATTAAAGGTGTGTGTCACCACACCCAACTCAAAAAATACATACTCTGGTGGTAAACCTCAGAATACTTTGTAAACCAACTCATTCTTGAGTCACAGTAGCATGAGCTGGTTGGGAAATACTTTGACTGCCATCTCTAGTATAAATGAGTAGATTTACAGACAAATTTATGCACTTGCCTATCCCACAGAGCCATGGCTAAGCTTGGTACTTCCCACAGAAAAATACAAGTTACTTCTGCATAGAACCTGCAGTAAAGGCTTAATAATAAAACATCGATATAGCCTATATCAACTTTTGAAGAATCACAGGCTCATGGCCAAAGTTACCCACAGATACTGGCTAAAATATGTGATCTAAGATAGAAAAGTACCTGCCCAGGTATGACCAGTTGAATTTACTTAGTTATGAGGAAGATACAATCAAAAGCATGAGAGTGTGTTCATAAGTGGGTTTCTTTTTCTGGAGTCTTAGTGAATGTTAACCTTTGAACTTTAACTCTTTCTTGAACTGGACACTTGCCAAGTTTTGAACATTTGCTGGAAAAGAGCATAGACAGAGCTTTGTTAATGTAGTGAACTGCTATCGCTGGTCTAGACAGGTGGCTCTTGTGGAGCAGCTTTGCTTCCTGGATTTCCATGGGACCTGTCGCACTGAGGCACTGAGTTGTCCACATGCGCTAAGTAGTATGGTGCACGTGTAGCCATAAAACCCAGAATAATCCACAGGGCACCTTAGTTCAAGTTTTACTTTCCTTGGTTTCAGTTACCTGCATTCAAATGCAGCCTGAAAATATTAAGTGGAAATTTCCAGAAATAAACAACTCATTGGTTTTCAGTTGTGCACCTTTCTGAGTAACACAATGAAACCCTGAGCTGCCTGCTCTGTCTGGATGTGAATCATCTTTTTGTTCAGTGTATCCATGTTATATCTACTAGTCACTTAGTAGCTGTTTTGGTTATCAGATTAACTGTCACAGTATCAATCTATTGCTATAATTGTTCTTTTTTATTATTGTTGCTGTTGATCTCTTATTGGACCTAATCTATTAATTAAACTTTTGTATTTATGTATTGGAAAAAACACAAATATGCATAGAATTGAGCATATAGGGTGCCAAGGATCTTGGGATGCATTCCCTATGGATAGCAGAGGAATACATTTCTCTAGAAATAAATCCGATAGTGCTTCTCTCTCTCTCTCCCTCCCCTTCTCTTGTTTTTTCTCTCTTGCTCTCTCTCGCTCTCTTCCTCTCTTCCTCCCTTGCTCTTGCTTCACGTGTGTGTGTGTGTGTGTGTGTGTGTGTGTGTGTGTGTGTAAGGATTAGATAGACATAACTGTGCCACGATGCTTGGTTTAAGTTGAGGAATCTGTGCAATCTCATTTTGTTTGTCCAACATGGTGCAACCTCATCATGTCTTCTGGCCCTCCTTGAGATCCCTCCCCACTCCTTAGGCTGTATCCTGTTCCACTGAAAAAGAACTTACTCAGCAAAACTTTCCCAAGCTCTTCCCATGCAGACAAGCTCAGATACCTCTCTGGGTCCACTGGGCCCCTGCACCAACCAAAGGCCATTGAGAGAGTCAGACTTAGGTTATAGACTATGTCTTTAAATGCTAGCCCATATCCTGCTCTCTCAGGTCAGAACAAGCCTACCTATCCAGCAGTGCTCACCTCACTCTAATTCCCAGCTTGCTGACATAGCAGGCTGCACCCAGAGACCCAGGGCCAAGGCAGCTTCTCCTCTTCCCCAGGATCCCCCGTGCCAGCCTTGTCTGACACTGGCTCTCCTCCCACTGTTCCTCCGAAGGACAGCTGGGAAGAGCTTGGTGACCAGGGCACGCCTGGTTTCCATTAATGAGATACACCGAGTGTAAGCCGGCCATGGAGGCAGCCTACAAAAGGAGGCGATCACAGGCGGCCAGGAGCCGAGTGCTCAGGTAATTGGTTTATCTATCTGGAAGCAGGGGGAGCAATCTCAGCACAGACAGACTAGCAGTAAAGTCTCTTCCTTAAGGCTATTTCCTTTGTCTTTTCAATTGCTTGCACATCCATGTGAGAGAGGGAGAGAGTGTTAAAGAGAGAGGGAGAGGGAGAAATGTTAATTTGTGAATTAATGGCTTTTCTCAGCGGAATTGTAAATTCAAATGTCACCTCACATGGTGACACCTCGGCTGGTCTGCTGAAGAAGCAATGATAAGATCCCCCACCTCCCTCAGTGCCCCTCCCTCCCCAAAGATAGCTGTGGAGTGGAACATGCTACTTTTAATTTGCAATAACAACACAACAGAGGTATGCAGTAATGACTGCCTCTTCTACCCTCCTCCTGGCTTCCTGCCCCCCAATCCAGGTGGCTCCCCCATTTCCCCTCTCCCCACCCCCTTCTGAAGCACCTCACCTCACCCTGCTGCCCCCCCCAGCCAGTGCCTGATCACATGGGGGGGTGCCTTTGGAATTGACGATGCTGCAACCCTCTCTTCTCCTTCAATAATCAGGGAATTAATGACCCTGAAGTTAAAGTGAGGCTGATACTGAGGCCCTGCCCAGCACTGGGAAAAAGCCTTCATTGTTTTCAAGCAGGAGGCGGGCAGCAGTGAGGGAGATTCATGGATGGAGATTGAATATGCAATTTTCTTTCACCTTGCCAAGAGCTGCCCCTGGGCTGTGCCTGGCCTAAATTTTTCCTTTTACCATCTCTGCCTTATCCGGCCCTCCCACCTCCCTTCCATTCTTTCCAGAAAATTACCTTCAAAATTGATTTCCACTTTTACAAACAAATATAATGGGAACACAGGAAAAAACTTGGGCCGTGATGAATTAGGGCTGTCAGGTGCTTCCAGGTCTCCTTTGCTTTTGTTTTACTACCCGATCTGCTCTTTGTTTTTCCAAGGGCTGGAAAAACTGCCCCCATCCACTGAGTGTGTGACCCTCTGGGCCACCAGGTCTCAGCACCAAACCCCCTCGGTGGCCCATGGCGGAAGTGATCCAGGCCCAGAGACTGTTAACTTCTAGGGTTCCCAGTGGATGCCTGGGCCTCTGCCTCCAGTTGTTCTCTGCCCTTAAGACCCATTGTCTGATGTTCTCTAGCCGCCACCCCCATGTTCCCCTGGACCCCCACACCATATTCCCTCTGGCCCTCATACCTCTTAAAGTCCAGACAAGATGCAAACCTCCACCTCCTCTAATGTGGGCAGGATCAGTGTATACCTCAACTAGAGCAAATAAGAGACAGACAAACACTGAGAGATCCCGAAAGACAGGCACATAGCTTGGGGAGGACAGACCCCAAGACTGGGAGACCAGGCTCCTCTTCAAAGGCCTGCAAAAGTTCCAGGCTGCAACCTGAGCAGGGAGGGCTGGTTCCTTGCCTCAGTCTCCCTAGCCTTGGGGCCCAGCCACTCCTGGAAGTACTCTCAGGACAGCCCATCAATTTGCCAACAGATGGAGGTTAATATCAGTGGACCCTTGGAGCCAAACTATATGCAGGCCTGTGCCCAGCACCATGGATGCTCAACATGCCCAGGCATGGCTTAGTACTCCCTTTGGTTATTGGTCAGCACATGTACATGGTCACATTGGTACTCTCTCCAAGCATGTATCCTGCCTACAAAGCTGCATGACTTCCTAACACATGACCTTCCATATGATCCATAACACATGATCTTACTCCTAAAGATCTCAGATCAATAGACACATATACACTTGCATAAACCATAGAGAAAGTCATATGTGGTTTAGAAAACAAGCATACATTGTCCAAGGTAAATAAATAAACTTTCATGTGGAAGCAGAAATGTGCACAGCACAGATCGATAGAGGGAGTAATGTCCCCATATTAGAAAAAGAAAGGAGTTTTCTATTTATTTACACACATAGAAGAGGAGGTTAAAGGATGGCAAGTGGCCCAACAGATAACCACAGAGCAAGTAAACAGGAAAAGATGGACCAACGTTGCCCTGGTCACACAGGTGACCAGTCACACAGGTGAAGCCTACTGCCCTGATCCCTTCCAGAAGAGCTTATCTCAGCATCAGCTAAAAGCCACCAGAGTCACAACAAGCCACACTGAGTTTAGGGAGCCAGGGCCCAGATAAACTTCCTTCTGGCACAGCTTCATTTCCCCGTGAAATCTACACCTGTCAATTAGACTTTTTTTGCCCAGATACACAATGATCCATCTTCCAGGGTGGAGCCAGTTTAACACTTTGCATCTATGATCTTATGGAGACCTCTCCATAGTCCTCAGGTGGTAAGATTGGTTACCTGCACCATTTGACAGAAGAACTGGTGTAAGTTAAATGACTTCCCTGAGGTCACATACTACCTAGTTAGGGTTCAAACAGAGCTCATGTTCATTAAGCCAGGCCTGCTTGCAGGCCTCACTCTGGTCCTTCCTTCCTAGTAAGAGGCTAGGCAACCTTCTTGCCCCAATCCAGGGCCTCTATTCAAGGGCTGATCATTTCCACCGCTTAGTCAGTCCCCTCAATTGCTCTGAGTATAACCTGAGCAACACTCTTGGGGACTTCTAGGAGGGAAACTAGCTGAGGAAATAATCTGCTTCTTTCAGTTACAGCATCATCCAAAGCAGAAGGGAGCTGTTAAAGGCAGTGGCAGAACTCGGCCATTTGTGGCCATGCAACCTGGCCTGCCTGCAAATGCACAACTGCACCAGCTTGGCACCACTCCATTGCACAATTCATTGTGCACCTAATTAATGGAATGCAAAAATCATGGCCCCCTGCAATCCCACACATCAGAGGCTGATATCAGCACACCTCCCTCACACAGATCCAGCAGACTCTCACCAGATGACTTCATTTGAATTTTTGGACAAGTTATAGAACCTCTCTGTGCTTCGACACCACTGTCAATGGACAACGGTGCTCTGGGCTAAGCTTGAAAGCAGTGGGGAGAAGGAAAAGACATTGTATTTCCTGTGGTTTTGTTTTGTTTTGTTTCAGTGCTAGGAAATCAAACCCAGGGCCTTATGCACACCAGGCAAGCACTGTACCACTTCGCCACCCTCCACCCCACCCCCTAGACTTACTTCAGTTTCTCAATCTGATAATGGATAGGTTTGGTACAACTCTGTTCTCCAGCCATAGAAGCCAGTGCATACAAGAGTAAGGGAATTGTTTCTTCAACGTCCTAGGGAATCCAGCTTTAATATACCCACCCATAACTGCAGCTAGGAGGTGAAGATGTCAGCAAGGCAATGATGGGGATTCTTCCTTCTTGGACTGATACACAGCCTGTTTCCTGGGTGCTTCATGGCATGATTTCTCTACCTCTTCCTAGCTTATCTTCCTGAGAACTCATGGATTCCTAGGAGGAGGGTCCAAGCTTCTTGAGTGGCACATTTCTCTAAGGAAAGTCTGGATTTTTCCACATTACCATAGGCCAGGGGATGGGAAAGAGTCTCAAGCAGTTCCCCAGCCCCACCCTAGTCAAAGCAGACTGGCTCTTTACAAATATTCCTATGGATATAATTGCTTCTGATACTAATAATGCTGTCCATACTCCAAGGGCCAATGCTAGTAACATTCTGGGCACCATCACTGTGAATACCCATAACTACTGCTGAGATTATCTTCACTAATGCCAGCACATACCACAGTGACTGTCCTTGCTAATGCCCACCACCCAGACATGGTTAGATCTGAAGAATGGCCCACATTATGCCCACAGGCGGGAGCCAGAGCAGCTTCCTGGAGGGCAGAGGGATGCCCAGCTTGCTTCAGGATATGGCACTTTGGGGGAGATGCCACCATGCATCAAAGGATCAAAGGAAGATCAAGGTGGCCAGTACATTCAGGGTCTTCCTGAGGGAAGTGTATCCTGTCCTCTACTCTCTCTGGGGGTCTAGTCCTTGGATGTATATCCCTGGTCCCATCACAAAATCCCAGTCCCCTAAGACAGCTTCCCTTTCACCCACAGTCCTGGCCTAAGAGTTGAAGGACATACCTGAGTGTCTGTGTAGCCTATGCCTGAGGCTCTTCCTGCAACCTACTGGCCTGCCAGCTGCTTTGCTACCTTAGCCTGACTGCAAAGTTGGGCTACATCATCTTGACACGTAATTATCTCCCTTATTCTTAATCATCTGAGCTGTTCCCTAATGCAAACTGGGCCCTGCTGCTTGGAGGCCTCTGGAGTCGGGGAGGGGAGGAGGGCTGCACATCTCCCTTTGCTTTTTCCCCCCTCTTTTCCCTTCCTATCTGAGTCCCATGGATCAAGAGTGGGATGATGGTCAGAGAGATCTGGCCTCCCTCCCAGGCCCCGCCTCTGGGGGAAGGTTCCATCTGGCTTGGGATTGGTCAAAGGAAGAGGGAGGCAGGGCAAGAGAACCCCTCCACAAAAAATAACAAGGTTCCTGGTGCTTCTTGTCACCTGGTTTAGGCTTAGCAGGTGAGTGTCTAAGGCTCTCACTATCCCTCAACTGAAGTAAAGCTGGTTTCTGCACTGTCATACTTCTGGAGGCCGCAACTCAGCCCTGCTCCTGTCCCTTCCTGCCCAGATGTATTTAGAGTAACGTATGCTTTCAGAGCACAGCCCACTGTCCTTCCATGGTTCAGTCTTGGTGAGTCCCTGTGACTCTATCCTCTTAGCCTCGCTTCCTACCACTCCTCTCCTGCCCACTCAGCACATCCTTGCAAAACCACCCTGCCTTTTCTGTTCACAGGCTTGAGGCATCTGGTAAAATATCAGGCTACCATTGCCATTAATGCCCTCTTCAGTCCCTTCTCAAAGAGCAGCTCTTCCTGGCAGTGACTTCCCTCCCCACACCTTGGGCTTTGTCATACCTCCATTGCACCATATCTGATAGCCTTTCTGCTCTCTGTGCTCAGTGTTTAATATATCCTACCAGAGTGCAAGCTCCTTAAGGATAAGAATTATATCTTATTTTGCTTGGGGACCTTCTGTACCAAGCCATTCTTAAGGCTGATGGACAGAAATTGTCACTGTATTGAATTGACTCAAAACAATGAATGCAAGAGAGGGCAGAGGAAAGCACCTTGTTCCTGACCTGTCTGGCCCAGCCCTGGGTGGCCACAGCCTCCCTACCCCCAGCCTCCCTTCACTGCTCATGAAAGCCCAGACAGCAGAGGTATGAACAGCTTCAACCTCAGCCCACTGAGGGAGAACACAGAAAGGTTTCTGTGGCCTCTCAGGGCCCTAGACACCTCCCACTCTAAACAAGGCAGGTGGCTAAAGAGAAACCCTTAGGGATTGAGGCAGACCCTACTGAACTTTCAAGGTGCCAGGGAGCTTGGCTAAGGCCTGTGCATCAGAAGCCCCAGGGAGAGTTGGGACTTAGGGCTTCTCTTGCAGCCTCCCCCTGCCCATCAGGGGCTGCCGCCAAAACAACCACAATGAAATTTAGTGAGTGGCAAAGGCCGTGGCAGCCAAATGGGTTTGGATATTTTGAAAGAAGGAGAAACAGAGCCAGACAAGCTGTTTCCCTGTGAAACGAGGCCATTAGGGCTTCTGGAAGGAGGCCAGCTCCAGGTCATCACTGTCTCGCCAGGCTTAGGTCTCTCCTACACTCTGTCCCTCTACTGGAGGCTAGGGGCTCTCATGCTCTCCTCCTTCTGCCTGGGCCTGGAGAATCCAGGCTGCAGCTCAGGGAACAGATGTTTCTGTTCTTCACCCCCTCAATCTTCCTTCACCAAGAGCTTGTCTATGCTTGGGATGACCACAGAACTTATTGTTTCTGAGGGAAAAAGGAGACTCTGGATCTATATCCTGAGCTAATAGGATATACGGTTACTGCCCCTCTTTATATTCACCTTTGTAGGATTCTATTTTACGGGAAATATCTTTAAGACCCTATATACACTGTAAAGCTTAGAAGTTGCCACTTCCCTAGCCAGAAACATAAGAGAACAGAAGCCGGAAGCAGACCTGAGATACTGGCATCTCTGTTCATCTGAGTGCCCTGGCCTCATGCATCAGAAGAGAACCAGCTGGTCACAAACAGACCCCCTAGTGCCACAGTATCTGAAAAGCACCTTGTCCATTGTTTATCCCCATCAATCTCTCCCCTAATTTTCTTTCTTCTCATCTCTTCCTCTTCATTCCCCATTCCTTTTGACTAGAGCACCTTGTGCTACCCAAGGTGCTGGCTCTTCCTTGAGGGCTCATGGGAAGGAGGAAAAGGGCCAGTGGAAGTCAGAATGGTGTCCACTCTCATGAAGAAGAAGAATACAAAAAGGCCTCATGTCCAGCTCCTCAGGTGCTTTCAATGGGAGTAGTAGCCATGTGTTACAGAGAAAGGACCCCAGCATCCCTGCACATGATATCACCCCCTGCCTTCTGACAGAAGGATCAAGTGAGGCCAGAGTAAATTGGCCTTTCATCCCTGGGTCAGAGACCAGCTGTCCCTCAACCTCCACAACCTTCCCAGGGTAAACAGTTTATGCCACTCCTCCTGGCATCCCACAGGGACAGCTGGGGTGAGTCCCAGCAGAAGGTGAAGCCATCGGGGCTGAGCAGATGGTGAAGCTGGTGGCCTCACCAGCAGTCTCCCTCCCTCTCTCCAGGAGCCAGCAGGGCAGTGAGGGTACCTGGGCTAAGCTACTAAAACTGATCTCACAGCAGAGCAGCTGCAAGGCCAGTGGAAACCGGAGCTCTGAGTCCAAGGACAAAGCATGCAAGGGGGAAGCCAAAGCTCTTCCCTCCTCCCTACCTTCATCACGTTTCCTCTTCTCACCATTGGAGCGAGGAATCCCCAGGATCCCATTGATGGAGTAGGAACCCACTGGGTCATTGGAGGCGCTGGAAACAGGAGGGGAGGCTGTGCTGGGAACTGGATGAGAGGAAGGAGGATACACCATCAGGATAGCAGTTGTGAACATAGGCCAAAACCCTAGGCTGGGCCGAGAGAAGAGGATAGGAGGGACAAGGAGATAGTAGTCCCCTTCTTCCTCTGAGGCTTGAAAGAGGAAACATTCCCACAGCCAGTTTAGGCTATTTATACTTCTCTCCGGCCTGAGGTACGTGGTAACCAGTCAACCCAGGCCTTCTCTGCCACCTGTGGCATTTACTGAACCCTCCAGCCCCCTCCCCTAAGATGAATCGAGTATAGACCCAAGAACCACCAAGACTGGCTGTCTAGAAAGCACTTCGATGACCTTCTGGGTGGTACAGCTCCAAGGGTGCCCCCTGGAACCACTCTTCGAATCCCAACCAATCCATGCACTGAGCGAATCCTTCCAGACAAATCCCAGATCATTGCTTCTCAGTCTCCTGATGGAGTCTTTACAGCCCTGATTTAGAGTCTGAGGTTTCCTAAGATCTGTCTCTGACACTCTAGGGGACAAAGCTCGTCCTGATGTTCCCTAGGAGTGCACAGCTCTCTCTCCTAGTTGCTTCTGAAGGTCTTGAAATCACTGGAGAAGTTCCTAAGTTCCCCCTGAGGGGACAGACTAGTGAACTCATTCACTAGTCAGCTCAATCCAACTCTCCATCCGGTACACTAACCCCAGCCTGGTAAACAAGGGCTCCTGCCAACTCCAGTAGTGCTGGGACCAGCCATTTCTATGTCCTACTAGTCAAGAGGGAAGGAGACCTAAGAGAAGTCAGTGTGTGCATGTAAGGGGGTTAGAACGTGGCAGCAGGTGTTCTCCCAGGCCTGGGCCATATCTCTGAGATATCCTGAGGTTGAGAACTAAGGAAGCCAGAGAGAGGCAGAGAGCTACAGAGTATACAAGATTGAGACAAAGAGATCAGGGGAGACAAAAAAAAAAAAAGCCATAAATAGAACAGGGGAGAAAAAAAAAAAAAAAAGCCATAAAGAAGGATGGAGTGAGACAGACACACATGAGGGGAGGGGAGAGGAGGAAAGAAGACAGAGACTAGAGAGGAAGGCAGAGACAGAAGAAAGATCATTTTTAAAACATTTAAAGGCTAGGGGTACAGTTCCATGGTATAGTGCTTGCCTAGCATCCACGAGGTTGTGGGTTCCATCCCTCCCCCCATTTTTTAAAAAAGATGGAGTGAGCAAGTAGATATAAAGAAAGTGAGGCATACAGGATGTATCGGGAGATAGAATCGGAGAAAATAAAGGATGATGAAGCAGAAGAAATGCTCAAAGAAAAGTGTTGACTGAGAGATTGGAAGGGTGGAGAGGGGACAACAGAGAGGAGACGGGAAGATGACATGGACTAAGGAGGCCAGGTGGGAGGCAGTGAACTAATCTCACCAGAGAAACGATGGAAAAGAAAGGAGTGACTGGGGACCTGGCAGATCCTGGATCTCACTGGAGTGGACAGTTCCCAGGGCTGGTCTGTGTTTCCTGGCTTTCCCTTAGGTTGATTTCCCTCTTCCCTGAGCCCTCTTACCGATGGTGTGGCCCGGGGCAGTCACTCCTGTCCCTGCCCCATCCGGCGTTGGGTGGAAAGGCTGCTGAACTTTGGTCCGAATGATCCTGCAACAGTATCAAAACAGCATCACACATTACACTGCCCTGGCCCATGCCTGCCCTGTCCAGCAGAGGGGTGCTTCTGAGCACCTCAGCTCCATCCTCATCCACCTGGCCTTGCTTTTCTGCCCTCACCCACTGCTGCAAGACATGCAGTCTCCCTCCTGTCAGTGTTGTGATTGACAGTACAGTTCTGGGCAGAGGTGGTCTGCATCCTGTCCTGCCATGGAACTGCACCATCTGAACTGCAGCTTGAGTATGAGTAGCAAGAATCAGTCCACAATCAAGTGGAGCACAGAATCTTTTCCATTTCTGAGGGGTGGGGACTACCTTGGTGGCTAGTGGTTCATCTTTTCTTTCTTTGTCACATATATGCACCCCTTAGTCCCAGGACCTCCTGGGACTAGAGGTCATTTTGGCTGGCTTTCCAATTAGGAACATATCACAGTCCTCCAGAATAGGGGCAGGATGTGCTTCTCCATATCCTGAACTAGAGAGAGAAGGTAGTAAAGACCTGGGTCATGGGTGATCATTTGTCCCCCGGGTCTCACAATAGTACATGGTCTCTTTGCTGGATATCAGGCCCCATACAACCTCTTCCTCATCTGGCAGGCTGGCTTGATGTCCTCCTTTCTTTTCTAACGGTCTTACTTGAGTCACAGCTTCTTTACCAAACTAAATGAGGAGCTGGTACCATCCCTGTGCACCCCATAAAACAGAGGGATAAATTACAACTTCCCAGGGGGAATGAGCTCATCTTGCAGGGATCCAGAAAATATAGGGCTCTGTGATGTAAGAGACCAAGCCTGGGGACTAGGGAATGCAACACCCTACCTTGGTCCAATTTAGTATTGCTCTTCCCTATAGAAAGCCAAGTTCACCTCTACCATCTAATTGCAAGCCATGAGTCACTCAGCTTTTTTTTTAAAAAAAAATTAACGTGCATGTGAATTTTGCTTGCATGCATGTAAATGCATTATGTCCGTGCAATGACCCTGAAGACCAGAAGAGGGTGTCCGATTCCCTGGAACTGGAGTTACAGATGGTTGTTAGTCACCATGTGAGTGCTGGGAACCAAACCTGAGTCCTCTGCAAGAATAGCCAGGACTTTAAACTACTGAGCAATCTCTCCAGTCCACTCAACTTTAACTGGCTTTTACCAAGCACTTGTAGACCACAGGGATGAGAGCCCTGTCTCCTAGCACGGGCAAGTTGGGAGCAGAGATATTTATATTCAAAGAATGCGAAGGAGCCCAAGGCTATGAGGCAGCCTGTGCCAGAGGAAGAACCACCCCTTGAAGGTAGGGGGCAGGGGAAGGAGTGACTGAGGAGACAGAGCATGGCATAGGTCTCCAACTATAGAATAAAGAGGTTACAGAAGCACAACGTCTCTAAGACCTCTTTTCCTCAGAAAAAAATAAGATTCTAAGATGACCATGAGAATGGAGGGGGGTGTCATACAACTGGAGGTGGGCATGGTGTGGAAGCCCAGAGGGAGCACAAGGTTGGGGTTATTGCCTAGACCCACAGCCAGGAGCAGTGTAGGCATGCACTGGAGGAAGAGAAAATAAGGCTGAAACTTGAAAATTGCAATGAAAACAGCTACTTCCACTTATAAACTCTCATACACCAATATTGTATTATAATCTCTATGACTCATATGTACTACTGCTAATTCACACGACTTTCAAAACAAATGCTTTATCTTAATTTTGCAGATAGAAAACCAAAGCTGACAATGGTTAAGCAGCTTGCTTGACATCATACTGCCAGTTAGGACAGAGTCCAAGTTCAAGCTCCAAAACCTGTGTCTTTTGCTATTTTGTCATCCTTCCCTCAACATGCAAGAATCAAGCCTTAGCAGTCTGAAGCCATGAGCAATGCTCAAACTAAAGGAGACATGATTAAAATGATTGATCGCAGGAAGGTGATATGCAGCGTGAAGTGATAACAAGCAGCTTTCAGGAAAGAAAGGGAGGAATCTTTGAACGTGCAGAGGCAAGGAGGCAAGTGGAATGGCTAGGATTGGGCAACTAATTGGAGTCAACTGTAGCTCCAAAACAATTCTGTCTCTGGAAGCTTGGAGGTATGTGTCACTGTGAATAGTGCTTCAGGGAAGTGACTGGCTTGGGAAGGAAGTGTGATGCTGGCTCTGGAAAGTGGGGTGGGCACAGCCAGGTGTGAGCTGGCCCAGCAGGAAGGGATTGAGATGACTATCAGGAAAGGAACATGTTGAGGGATGGGAGGAGTGGACAGGGCAGAACCAGTGCCAGATAGGGTGACCTCACCTACACAGATGGAAGAAAAGACTTTAAGGACTTACTCCACAGTGCCAGTGGTGACATTAAAAAGTGAAGGGGATTTGGAATGAGAGACGCACATTTGGTGATCTGGGTGGCCATTAGTGATGTTGGGGGAAAAGCATGTGAGCCTGGTGGCTGGAGCACGATCCTGTCAAAAGGAGGGCAGGGATTGGCAGGGGAGAGAGAGGAGCTCTAAAAGATGGCTGTGGTATGGAAGTCAGAGGGCAGCCTAGCAACCAGAGAGTGCAAGAAGGGTGACTGAGGGCAGTATAGAGGAGAACCAGTGAAGCTGCCAGGGAGACTGGAGGTGATAGCAGAATAAGGGGCGAGTGGAGGGTAGGTCTGCCAACAAGAAAAATCTAGAAGGATGCTGAACTCAGAGCAGCTGTTCCTGCTTGTTTCACAAGCTTCCAGGGGTTTGTGGGCCTGTGGTGGCTCTGCTTAAAGGCTAATGGGCTGTGGTCTATGGAGCTCCAAGGCTGGGGCTGGTGGAGACAGATAACTGGATGGGCTGGTGGAATTTCTGTCTTTGTTACCCAGAGCCTCTGACCCCTGGGGCACTGATACAGATTTAGCTGAGGCAGCAAGTGATGGAAAATCACTACGCCTTGACAGCAGCTTGGTGGTGCATGGGAGAGAAGTTGGGCAGGGTGCCTGCTTTGAGTTACTAATGCTCTTGGTGTTCATCCACGACCCCAGGCAGTGGGCACCTGCCAGGCTCCAGAGCTGATCACAGGGAATTTAAGAACTAGGGTTGTGGAAACCTGATGGTCTTCCAGAGCCCTCCTATATGCAGCCCAGTATGAGAGACAGGGTGCTGTTCCCCTACTTTTCCTAAATTTTCCAATTCTGGATGCTCTTTCCTCCTCCATTTCAGGCTAGAGCTCACCCTTCTTAGGTCTTTAGCCGGCTCTGAACATTGGGATTTCCAGGGTCTTAGCATCTCCCAAGAGTCTACTGTAAGTATAGCGAAGGGAATTAGAGTTTGGTTTTGCTTTGATTTCTTTTTTTTGAGACAGGGTCTCACTATGCAGCCAAGAAATACGTCAAACTCAACCCTCCTACACCTCCTGTATCCTAGGTGCTGAGTGGTAGTATTACAGGTGTCCACCACCACACTCAGTCTAGTGAAGGGAATTACGGTTATGGGTCCAGACTCAGTCTATCTGAGTTGGAATCCTAGCTCTGTTTCATCCTGCCTGAGAAGCTCTTGGCAGTTTTTTATTCCTTCATCTGTAAAATAAGATAATACAATTATGTGCTTCCTAGGGCTGTGGTGAGGATTAAGTAGGATAATGTATGTAAAATGATTAGTATGATGGTCAGCTCAATAAATGCTAGCTATAATAATAATGCTCACTCATGGGTTCCCCCCACCCCCGACCAACTGCTTTCAATTCAGGGACTGAGCCAGGTGTAGGCAGAAGGCTTCCCTTCCCAATATACCCCAACTTGCTCAATGCAGGTACTATTAGGACCTGGGAAGAACACAAAACAGAACAGGAAGAAGAACTGGAGAAGACAGGAAACAGCAGCAGCTGCACTCAGAGAGACTTTCAAGATGATAGACTGAGGGCTGGACCAAGTCCCAATGGGTGCATTGGAAAGCACCCATGGAAGACTCTGGTGATGGCAGGGGTTATGACCAGGCTTTGGAGCAAAGGATGATGCATCAGGTGGTGAGGTTACTTCCTCTTTGGTTAAATAACTAGGAGGCCTCCACTTCCTACCACCTTGAAGATCAAAACAGACTCATAGGCTCTGTGAGACGGAATGGAGCCCTGAGGGAGTCTCCCAGCAAGTCTGTTCAATTGGTGAAGAGGAGGTACCTCACCCTTCCACTGGGAACGCAGATTCCTACTTTTTTACCTTTCTCCATCCTCCTCCTTCTCCCATTGCCTCCTCTCTTTTCTTCCCTGCTCTCTCCATCTCTGCCTGTCTCTGCCTCTCTCTCACTCTCTTTGTCCATCTGTCCATCTCCTTGCACCCTCAAGTCCCACTATGGCTATGTGAGTTTATTGATTCCTAGGAGCTGGGGGAAAGTGGGAGGTAGAGCTGGGGTGCAGGGCTCAGAGATGGAAATAGAAAGCTATAAATTATTTGTGACAGGAAAGCAATAGTGGCAGAGTGCTGAGCACAAGTCCTGTGTCACTATTAGATTCCTTTTAGCCTGATGACACTGTAAAAAAGGTTAAGTGTCTGCTGGAATCATACACCTGGGGGGCCGGGTTGGCCTGGGAGCAGAACAAGCCACTGAGAGCAGGTATATCAATTCTCCAGGCCAATAATATTCCTCTCATTGATCGCCACGCAAAGTTCAAAAATCTCATTACAGCCAGGCAGACCGGGAACTTTTTACAAATCAATAGAATGATATAATGTATGTATACTTAGTACAAATGTATCTATTCATCTATCCATCCATCCACAGTCTGCCTCAGGGTTTCCAAGTTAACCTACCCATCATATTATGTCATGTTATGTATGATACTATACTGCATTATATTATATGATAATAAATGGTATGCAAACACTCTCCCTCAGGTGGAAACAAGAAGGGGTCCTATTAGCATTGAGGTGACTTCAGACAGCTCACATTGGAAGGAGTAAGGTGATAGCATTTCCAGCACGAAGCTAGTCAGGGTTTCTAGAAGCAATGCTTCCTTTGAAGAGGCTTTAGTAATTAATAGTAGTAGTAGTAGT